TTTGTAAAACATTTTAATCATAAGTTTGGAAATTGATTATATAAATTAACTAAAATCAAAGAAACGGTCATTTTTGTTTGAGAGACGTTTCATTAAGTTTCTTGCCTGTGAATTATTACAATATTAAAAATAGAAACACGTTTCTAACTACGTAATCACATTAAATAAATAAATTCTGGCGTTGCATTGTTTATTTTCAACATAAAGCCGTGAAACGTAATGCCAAAGTAAGCTTTCTAATTTCTTCGTCGATTCCTCCGAGGGGCAAGCGCGACGCTTACGTCACTCTTCCATTATGTAAATTTAATTTGGTGTGGCAACTTGGACTATGCAAAAATATGCTTGTCGCGTATGATTAAGATTTCTTTTGTTTGTTATAAATATGTAACGGCTCAGTAAATGCAACTTATCTAACATGCAGTGTATATAGTAAACGCTATTTTTTTTTGGAGAGTAAGGTGGAGCACCTCAAGTGCTCCAAATGCTTACTTCATACGTACACTGAGAAATTCTCCAAACAATCATATCATACTTAAGTTTGCGTTATATAGGTACATACACTGAAAGTTTTGCAATTCCGGTTTCTCAGAACTGTTTGAATTTCGAATGATTAATTCTTTTACACGAGTCCTTTATAAATTAAAAAAAAATAGGCAGAAAATCATCTGTCATTTGTTTACCATTCACACTTTGAAATTCGTCAGTGAAAATGGAATTAACGCGAAAAGATTTTAGAGCGATGATATTTTATGATTTTAAAAGTGTTTCTCCTAAGATTGTGCCATTCGCCTTCAAAATGCTTTTTGAAGTACTTCATCTGAGCACCGTAAAGCGATGGTATGCCGAATTTGAGCGGGGGGCGGATTTCTCTACATGATGAATGTCGTGAAGGACGGCCCGCAACTGCGACCACTGAGAAAAATGTCGCTACTGTAAAGAAAATAATTGAAGAAAACAGACGCATATGAGAGGGGGAAGAGTCAAAAAATTTTACATGAAGAATTAAAAGGTAGTAAAACTTTGTTGTCGTTGGATTCCCCATGAATTTCAGAACAAAAACAGGCTCGTGCAAACAGAATTGGTGCAAAAAGATGTTACTTAAGTACGACCATGGACATTCTAATGCTGTTTACGACATCACCACTGGAGACGAAACTTGGATTTATTGTTTTGAGCCAGAGAAAAAACAACAATCTTGTGGACGGGTGTTTGAAAGCGAGAACTGACCGACAAAATTGAAGCAGGCGAGGAAAAAAAATGATTGCATTTTTTTTCTTGCGCACGGGTCCCGTTGACACAGTCCCACTTGAAGATCAAAGAAGTGTTAATGCCGAGTGGTACACCACCATTTGTTTACCCGCTGTTCTTGAAAAAGTACGAGAAAGAAGACTGAGAAGCAGCATCTTCTTGCACCACGACAATGCTTCTTCGCACACCGCCAGTAAAACTAAAACATTTTGGGCCTCTGAAAGTCAGTCCGGACCTTGCACCCTGTGATTTCTTTGTTTTCCTAAAATTAAAGATTTGATGAGAGGCTTCACTTTTATAAGCTCCGAAGAGGCAGTGACGGCGTTCAATCAGCACGTTGAAAACATGCCACCAGACTATTAGTCATTTTGAAAAATGTTTCCAACATATGAAAAAATGTTTAAAATGTAAAGGAGAATACTTCGAAAAACAATGAATATATTTATATACTTATAACTTGTTTAATTAATAAGTTACGCAAAACTTTCAGTGCGGCCTACGTATATTGTATCGGCTCCGTTAGTCACATCCTAACTATGATTTCTATGTCACAGAATTAAAGTTCGAATTCTAGCTGAAGCCATGATTTATGCATAAACATAGTCTTACGCAAAAATATAAATACTATTTAAAGGTCTGCTTTTATTTCGACTCTTCTATGTTTTTTTTTTAAATAGAATAAATGTGGACATACGAACACACAGTCCATCAGATAGTAAGCGGATGCTGTGGCCCATAGACATCTACATTTATCCTCGATTAACAATCAAACTGCAGATGCGTTATCGCCTCTAAGGACTAAGATGGAATGCCTCGTTTCCAATAAAAGGGTCTCCGGTTCTTTACACTCATCATACGAAACACAGCAGCATTGAGCTCCTATTTAACGATGGTATTCTGTGAGAGCGTGGTCCTTCCCCGGTCAAACCGACCCATTAGTGCTACAAGCTACAGCCACATTAAAGCCGTAGCATGGCTCTACTGCGTGTCTGACGCTGCATGCAATCCTTTTATGTTAAATAAGTCTGTGTGTTAGCGAGTGCACAAATATAGCAAATTGCTATACTACGGAAGCCACAAGATCTTAATGAAAAAAAAATCATACTAAAGTGACTTACGTGCACGTGCATCTTTTTTTACGAAAGCGCATTAACAGATACACCTACATTACCTACATTAATGAACAATAAAATTGAATAAGTGTATGCTAAGGATATGTGCAATTAGTGATCGGTCATTATCAACGTGATACACTTAGTGTAAAATATCTGACAGATACAGAGGTGATTCCATAGGTGTACAGTTTTCCTAAATTTGGCACGGAATCCTTTAAAGATTAAAGAGAGAAAGAGATCGCAAATATGAATTTAGGACGAATTGATTTATCATTTTAGCTGGTTGTAATTCATGCTGGCCTCCCCTCAAAGATTACTCATAATATGTAGTATGATTCGAATGGCGACCTCTTTTACAGGCTGGATTTACTTTAACAGACGCCGCTGTCCATCATTGTAGCCTAATTTTTATCAACATTTTTATAACCAATGAAACAGTTAGATAAATCAGCTTTGAATGTGTCCATTGTCCATGTTAAATGAAAAATAGAAGCCTTTTGTGTTTGGTTGAGTTACTTGTTACTTTTGTTTGACATCTCCATGGCGTAGTGGCTTTGCAATGAGTTGCGGCGTTGGGGCCCGCTGGTTCGAATTCCGCACAGAGGAAGTGTTTGTATGGCCTACAAATAATTGTTCCGGTCTGGATGTTTGTCTCTGTGCAATTTATGTTTGTAAACTGCCTCCACACTACAGGAGAAAATCCTAGTATGGGGGTTAACGTTTTTTAAAGTAAAAACACCAAAAACCTCTCGAACAAAAATCTTCTTTTGTTTTTTTCGATTTAAGATAAGAATTAAAACCGCTACACTCTTGTTAACAATGATTTTCTAGTCTATATTTCTAGTGCTATCTATTTCATTGAAAAATTTTCACATTTCTCCATAACCATTCCTTTTTTGTCTCCTTCATCTGATTCAATTAATATCTTTCAAGCCTTATACTGAACCTTGTCTTTTCGCTTAGTATTTTTCTACTAAGGCGATAGATAATCTAAGATTCAAGAACAAGGCAAGACCTACGTCTTAATGAATGTATATAACGTTGTGTCTACGAAGTGAGACTTTTTTTTTTTTTTTATATATATATATATATATATATATATATATATATATCGGAATCTCGGAAACGGCTCCAACGATTTTCATAAAATTTTGTGTGCAGGGAGTTTCGGGGGCAATAAATCGATCTAGCAAATGAAACTTAGAAAATGTCTTTTTGTCCGCGTTTTTAGACAATGAAAAGCTGCTACAATATCGTTAGAATAAGAAGGTAAAGTTTGGCAATTTATTAATGATTACAAATAGCTTAATTGGTATACTGGGCGGTCACAAAATCGTAATACCATGATTCGAGCCCAGACCGACCGACCGACTTTTTTTAAATTTTTTTTTCAAGTTCCTTTCTTTTTTTGAGAAAGTCTATTATTTCGAGCCCTTTTTTAGTATTTTTTAAAAAACACGAAAATTTAAATTAAACTAATTGCACTCATGATTTTTTATTCAAATAACCAGTTCAGTTTTTTCTATTATGTCGCTAAGATCCAAAAATATTATTCGTATTTCATCAGTATGTAATTTGTATCTAAATATAATTTCCAAAACACACGAATTAAAAAAAAAACCGAGCGAAAAATACCGAGCAAAGCTCGGTCAACCGGGTACTTATGGTTGAAGCACGAATGGGTCGCCTCGACCGGGGAAGAGGACCACGCTCTCATAGAATACCAGCGTAAAATAGCTGTTTAATACTGATGTGTGATAGTGAGTGTAGAGATCCAGAGACCCTTTTTTACTGGAAACGAAGCATTCCATCTTAGTCCTCAAGGGTGACAACGCAGCTGCGTTTTGATTCTTAATCGAGGATAAATGTTGATGGGATGGGCCACAGCATCCACTTACCATCAGGTGGACTGTGTGCTAGTTAGTCACCCTTATTCTATTAAAAAAATTGTACGCAGCTTATTACATACGCAGATTTATTACTAGGGGTTGGATTTATTTCCTGTCTAGGAGTCAGTCAGGGTAGGTATCACCAACTAACCAATTTCTGCCCGCCCAGAGGGTTGTGCATGCACTTCTGTGTTCCAGTTTATAGGGTACAGAGACCCAGTATAATTAGTGCTTGTGAGGCATTCCATCTTAGTACTCAGAGGTGACCACGTGTCTGTAGCCTTCTTAGTTTGAAGTTGACTGCAGGCGTCCATGGGCTACAGTAGCCACTTACCATCACGTAGGACTGGAAGTTATACGTGGTAGAGCCACGCTGCAGCTATATTATGGTTGTAGCACAAATGGGTCGGCTCGACCGGGGCCGGACCACGCGCTAACAGAATGCCAGCGTAAAATAACTGCTTAATACTGCTTTGTGTCGTATAGTGAGTGTACCCTAATTTCACCCTACCCAAGAGTCACCGTAATTTTATTTAAAAAAAAAAAGATCGTTTACTGATGAAGTGAAAAACGAACTTACAGTCCGTAAGTCCGTTTCTCAGTTCATTATTATAAAAAAAAGCTTATTGGAAGCACATGTTCCAATTATAGAGGACTATAGACGTAAATCCTTAAGAGTTTGCCGTTGCAACGTACATGTTTCTTTTTGTCTTCTATTTGAGTGTTTCACATAATAATATTCTTGCAGGATTATATGACGGCATTCAACTTCGCAAACGAAGATGAAGCTAAAGTACTTAAGGACACACTCATTGAAAAGATCGAACTACGAAAACAGAGACGGGAAGGTGAGTGTTATAAGTTATAAGACATCTAATTATTCTGCAAGTATGTAATATCTATAGATGACGACAAACAGACAAGTAGGGTTTTACTTATATATAATTTTCTTCTACACCATCAGCTCGTAAAAATTTATTGCTGGAGAAGGGCTTCTCCTATTGTAAGCAGTGTTGCCTTAATTATTTCTGATACTGGATCACCTTTTTTACCATCCGGGAAAAATATAGGATGTAACATTGGAACGAAGTAGAAGCCTATAGTACTGATATTTTACAAAAAATAAAAACAAATATTTTGAATTGAATAAATAAATTAATTTAAATCTAACGAAATTCAAATCATATCCACCCTACTTTACGAACGGCAATAAAACAATAAATTCAGTCGGCATATTTGACCATGTTACCTCGCACTGAGCTACCACGGCGAGCCATGGTAACCATGTAGTAACGGTGTAAGAGTATCCACTGCCCCATATCGTCCCGTGGATGTCGTAAAAGACGACAGAGAGAAACTGAAATAAGACATAGGCTCAAAATTATAAAAACTGCGTTTAAAAACCGCATGCAAATCGTAACTATAACAAAATATCCCCCATATAAAGTAGTCTATGGGTTCAGCAGAGAACTTTTTAAAGGCTGTAAAGGATTATTTCCTTTGCCTCATTATTATTCTCATGTAAATATTAATTGCTTGCTAATAATTTGACAACACTTACATAGTTATTTAGCACTCTCATTGTGGGCGTACATTTTATAACACTATGATTTCATCTGTCCTTGTTTAATAAGCGAATTTGCACGCCGCGATTGTGGTCATTGACATAATAATACGGATCTGTTTACTAACAAATATTTCATACATAAACATGCATGTTTTACTGCTAAGTTCTCGGATGAATGATTTCACAAGCATGCCTGTGATTTTTGGTATAAATTAAGATGAATTTAACAAACTGCCTACCAGCATAATGAATCAATAAATCAATCAATCAATGAAATATACTTTATTGTACACCAAAAAAACATGAAAGAGAGAAAAAGAAATATTTAAAAGTGCAATTGGCAGTCTTATCGCTTAGAAGCGGTCTCTACCAGGCAACCATTCAAGCATAATTTTTATACAAAATTCGGGAGGCTTTGTTTAAGAGAGGGTGGTTCAGTTGATGATAGTCCGCTATAATACTTCAGTGCGACTCAGCGGGCTCCGAATATTTTTCTTTTGTTTTCCTTTAATTTAATTCATAACTGTAGTGTACGTAGCGCACAAACAAGGAAGGTTACCTATACAGACGCTTTTTTTACTATCATATTTCCGGTCACTACCTTGTAACTTACAGATCGGAAAGGCCTTATCACTAAAAAAAGCCAAACAGATCCTTACATTCCTGTGGTGTTAAGTTATCAGAATTTGTATCCAAATATAGAAATAATTAAAAAAAACATTAAAAATTAATTTTATAAAATATTTGCAAATTTATGTGTTTTTTATCTCTGCTTGCCGGGGTGGATTGTCAAAGAGATTAGATATGGTGTGAATTAGGAAATAAAACCACATACAATTTGCAAATATTTTTTTTTCATTAAAATATACTTTTTTAAATGTATTTTTTTTGACAAAAAAATATTATTAATATACGCTTGGATACTGATTCTGATAACGCACTTAACGGGAATCACAAGGTTTTTGTTACATGTTGTATAGGCAAATAAGGAGCCTCGAACTTAGTACGTTAAAATTCGGTACCAATAAGGGTCATTATACTAAATATATTGTGGCAAACAACCCTCCTACGAGAGAACCTCTTGGTGAGGCTTATGTTGAGCAGTGTATTTTAAATAGGATTAAAAATGATGTATGAAGGGCGTTTACAAAAAGTAAGACGGCAGTAGACCGTTACTGGATGATGAAGAGAAATCTAAAATGCTTCGATAAGAACACACAGCGCGATGATTTATAAATAAAATTTTACATATCTTACTTTCTTCTTACCGCCCCGTAAAAGACTACTGCTGGATTTGCCTTAATAACCGTGTTTGGCGTATGCCTTTTTTGAAGGATAAGGGTTACAAACCAAGAAGCACACAGTCCACCTGATGGTAAGTGGATGCTGTGGCTCATAGACATCTACATCTATCCTCGACTACGAATCAATATAATAACATTAAGCTGCTATTTTACGTTGATATTCTGCGAGAGCGTGGTCCTTCCCCGGTCGAGCGGACCCATTTGTGATATAACTATAATACTAATATAGCTGCAGCGTGGCTCTACCACGTATAAAACACCTTAGTTATTACCAGACGTCTTGTACCCTTGGCTCTGCTGCCCGTTGCCGCTCTGGGTATTTTACATCTGGTGTAAACTACAAGACTATATCGAGAACAATTAAATTCCTTGATATTTCCTATAGTCGCCTCCATAGATTTAAGAATCTGAGTTCGCCTCTAATGATAGCAGTGGGACATATTGGGCGTGATGAATGCTCTTATTTCGCCACCTCACAGCCATTTAATTATTAGCAACATTGCCAGGGGTCACGCTTTTGGCGATTTTTCGCCTGTAATTAAAGTTCCGCTTTAGGACTAAGTTTCATAATTGTTTTCATTGTAATAATAATAATGAAGTCCTTAGTGTTTTTTTGTTTTTTCTTACGTGGTGGAGCTGTGGCACGAATGAGTCGGCTCGACCGGGTAAGGACCACGCTCTCACAGAATACCAGCGTAAAATAGTAGCTTAATGCTGCTGTGTTTGTGTTGTGAGTGTAGAGTACCGGAGACCCGTTTTACTGGAATCGAAGCATTCCATCTTAGTCCTCAAGGGTGACAACGCATCTGCATTTTGATCGAGGTTAAATGTAGATGTCTATGGGCCACAGCATCCACTTACCATTAGGTGGATTGTGTGCTCGTTTGTCACCCTTATCCTATATAAAAAAAGGTTTTTGTTTTTATGTCTCGCTTTCATCGAATGAATCACACATTTTTACTTAGAAAGTTTTAAAACACCGCTTTGCCTGAAACAAAATCTGGCAACGCTGGTTACCAGTAATTCATTAAAAAAAATGTGGAAGTTGCTACAATTAAAAATATTCGTCTGAAGATAAAAACAGTATAAAGATCGGATGACTCAATAACCTTTCATTGTAGTCTATTTTTTTTTATTTTTCAGTATAGTAACAGTTTCAAATAAAGTTTACAACAGTTTCTATTGGATAAAACTAAATTTACGGATTTTATCGCGTTTATTTAACCGATTTACGCGATAAAATCCGTAAATTTAGTTTTATTCAATGTGTAGTGTTCGCATAAATTTAAGAAATCAGTTTCTATTGGTTTACAAATTGGTAAATGTTCGTTTGTGACGTCCACGCGGCACGTCCAAGTGGCCCGACTAGCTGGCTCACAACGCCGCGTATTCTGAGATCGAAGCTCAACCACAGAATAAATAATAGTAGCTCATCCTAGCCAAAGGCAATTTCGATTTGAGAACCCGTTCTCTTTGATGTTTATATCGATTTGAGAACCCGTTCTCTTTGATGTTTATATTATGTTATATCACATATTGGTAGGTTATAAAGAGTGAGCTTCCTGTATTAAAAAAATTATTATTTTCTCGTTATGATTTTCTCCTGTCGTGGAGGTAGTTAACATACATAAATTGCACAAGGCTAAACACCCGGACCAATTATTTGTAGGCCTTACAAATACTTGTTCCGTGCGGAATTCGAACGCGCGGGCCTCAGTCAATATCTCTGTATGTCTGTCTCTTATTTAAAAAAAACTACTTAAACACAATCAATTATTAACATTAAGTATATATTATACGGGAATAGGAGTGGTTTACGAGAATATAACTCAAACCACTGCAAGTACGCCTAAATAAAAATGCTTGTTAGGAGTGGTTCACGAGGTTAGTTCATCCACCCTCCATGTCCAGGCTTTAGTCGATATCAAAAAGCGGACGCTTACAATTCGACATTATGTTCTTTTTGTATGTATGTTATACGATATCTTCATCGGCTTTTATGTTTATTAAAAGTTTAAGTTTTAACGCCCGGTTTATATTTTGAGAAGTGACAAGTGCGAGTGGCAAGTGCAACTGATAAATGACAAGTGTTTAGTGCGCATATTATTCACACTTATCACTTGTCACTGCCTGTTCACACGCACTAGCCACTTATCATTTGTTAGTTGCACTGGCCACTCGCACTTGTCACTTCTCAAAATGTAAACCGGGCTTAAGTTGTCACTTTTCAGTTGGTTTCCTATAACCATTAAGCTACTGTCACTGTGGCACAATAATATATTCTGCGCAGTTGATGATTTCCGATATAAGGATTTTTATTCACCAAGAAAACTAATTAATGAATAGTGATAATACACTAATTAATAAATAACATTATCATCATTACAGGCCTTCACAAGTCCACTGCTGAACATAGGCCTCAACCAAGGAATGTCACTAAGCACGGTCCTGACCCACCAGCATCCATCAATATGTGACTCTTCAATCTTTAATGGCATATAAATCTATAAATATGAATCTGAACGCTAAGTTGTCTGATAGTGACATGACTTAGGCCCGGTTTACATTTTGAGAGTGACAAGTGCGAGTGGCAAATGCAACTGACAAATGACAAGTGCTTAGTTTGAATTTTATTCACACTTATGACTTGTCATTGCCTGTTCATTGATATAAATAAACATTTATCATTTGTCAGTTGCACTTGCCACTCGTACTTGTCATTCTCAAAATGTAAATCGGGCTAGCGTTGATATCATACATTTTTATATTATTTTTACATTTTATATAACGTTAACGATCGTAGAATGTCATCTGGCTAACCCCGCAGGCCGTCACTCCATTCAGAATTTCTATACATACACTTTAAAGCTTTATCTTTAACGTCTTTCATAGACGTTTTTTATGGTCGGTTTGGAACTATGAAGCCTGTTATACGACTATAATCCTCGAGATTTATTTCCGTGGTAAATCCATGCTGCAGCTATATTATGCTAGAAGCACGAATGGGTCGCCTCGACTGGGGAAGGACCACGCCGTCACAGAATATCAGCGTAAAATAGCAGCTCAGTACTGTTGTGTTTCGTTCGCTACACGAGACGATGTAGAGAACCGGAGACACTTTTTACTGAGAATAATTTTAGATGTCTATGGGCCACAGCATCCACTCACCATCAGGTGAACTGTGTGCTCGTTTGTCACTCATACTATAAAAAATGTTAATGATTTGAATATTTTTTTACAGAGCGACGTCAAAGGTCGATGCTGGCACAAAGAGCTAACAGCTCGGCATCCCAGAATTCCGTGCGACATAACGGAGTGGCGCCGCCTCCAATACCTGCTCAGACTCTGCCAACCCCACAACCAGCGAAGGCTGTCAACTTGTCTGGTAAGTATATTTTCTTTTAAGTTTTTTATTTTATTTTAAGTAAGAATAATAAACTACCACACGTATCTCTTGATGGTAAGTGGATGGTGTGGTCTATAGACAACTGCATCTATCCTCGATCAAGGATCAAAATACAGATGCTTTGTCATCTCTAAGGGCTAAGATAGAATGTCACGTTAGCAGCGTTATGCTTCTATTTCACGCTGTCTAAGTCCTAGTGGAAAAAAAATAGAATACCACTACAAAAGTATTAGAAGAAGAGTTATTACATAAAGGCTCTACAAAAAATGCACAAAAACGACTCACTTTATCCAAAGAGTGGATTTCCTCACTAAAAGCAAATGATAACGGAAAAACTACAAATAGAGAACACCTTTTAAAAATAGCTACTGATTTTTATAAAAACTTATACAAAAGTCATAACGTGAAAAATAACATAACGGATGAATTAATAAATAATAGTTGTATTGTGGACATAAACGATCGTATTCCGCCATTAGTACCGTGCAAGATAAGTCTTGCCATAAAAAAAAACTTAAAAGTGCAAAAAGTTCAGGAGAAGATAGTATTTCAAATGATGCGAAAGCGATAAAAGAACCCATCATACCGATATTAACAAATATTTTCAACGAAATACTCGACCTTAGTCAAATACCAGAAGATTGGCCAAACTCTACTATCATATTATTGTACAAGAAGGGTGATCGATTAAATATCAACAACTATAGACCTATATCCCTATTGCATACAATTTATAAAGTTTTCACAAGTATATTACTTAACAGAATCAAACCAAATTAGACTACATGCAACCGAGAAAACAAGCTGGTCTTCGTCCCAAATTCTCTACAATGGATCACATCTTTGTTTTGACTCAGATAATGGAAAGATATGAAGAATATAACAAAACTCTTTACATCGCATTTATTGATTATTCAAAAGCTTTTGACTCTATTTATTATGACTCACTTTGGTTGGCGTTGAAATCTCATGGAATACATAACCAATATATAAGAATACTGAAAGAAATTTATAGCTACAGCAACAATAAGAATGGAGAGACCAGGACAGCCATTTAAAATAGAGAGAGAGGGGTGAGACAGGGGGACCCAATCTCACCTAATCTATTTAATTATTTATTAGAGTACATTTTCTCAAAACTTGACTGGAGCAAACGAGGCATTAATATTAACGGAGAAATTTTGGGTCATCTACGTTTTGCAGACGACATTATCATATTAAGCGAAAATCACGAAAACCTTATATATATGTTTCAGTCTTTGGACATAGAAAGCAGAAAATGTGGCCTACAAATGAATCCAGATAAAACTTGTATATTGACAAATAGCACTAAAATGCCTGTACACGTTCAAAACCAACAAATTAGATATGTTAATGAATATATTTATCTTGGGCAAAATATTTCATTTCACAACTTAACAATGACGGAAGTTAATAGAAGAATTAAATTAGCATGGAGCAAATATTGGTCACTAAAACATATTTTCAAGGCAAAAATACCAATTAAATTAAAAAAGAAAGCGTTGGATACTACTGTACTCCCCACTTTATTATCTGGATGTTAAAACTGGGCTCTCACAAGAAAAATAATATCTAAGCTACAAGTTTTCCAACGAGCAACGGAACGCAGCATGCTTAACGTTAAACTAAGACATCGACATAGAAGCAGTGATATACGAAAAATAACAAATATCATAGACGCAGCCAAATTAGCGTGTCAACTGAAGTGGAGATGGGCAGGACACGTGGCAAGAGTCAGTGATGTGAGATAGACTGAACGGGTGCTACATTGGTACCCGCGTGATGCGACGCGCTCGCGCGGCCGACCGCGGGCACGCTGGTGCAACGACATTGTAGAGGTGGCAGGAGCAACGTGGACGAGGCTAGCGGCAGACAGAACTTGATGGAAAAGTATGGAGGAGGCCTTCACCCGGAAATGGGTATCCCATAATTAATTAAAATTAATATAATAAATTATGATACTTACTATTTTATGTGTATAGCCAAATTCAGTAAATTATTATTAACTTCAATTTTATTATTGACAATTACTTGAAAATATAAATATAAATTGATTATTTACCCTAACATTATAAATAATCAAAAATTAATTTTGTAAATTATAATACGTAAATAAATATATAAATACGTAAATAATATATAATAATTATATAAATAAATATAGTTTAATTTAAACTTTTTATTTAAAATTGACACTGGCATTATCATGTCTTTTAATTAAAAAATTGCATGACTCATAATAATATTGTAATTGGTTTTAACTAATATCGACTGCTGTATGAAAATTGGGAATTAAATGGCTATTATTATTATTATTATTAAGTCCTAGTGGATAGGTAGGACTTAGGTCTCCTGAAATAATGGATATGCCCTGTATTCTGGGTGTCATTAAGGAGGCAGCTTTAGTGTATGCTCAACAAAAGCAATGTCTCAATAATGTTAATACCCACTGCTCCATTAGAGATAAAGAAAAACGTACAATCAAAACTTCAAATTTGGTTAAGATTATTATTTCAAATATTTATGAATAAAACAAAGTCTAAACGCTATTGTTGATACACTGTGTTATTTATGTATAACCTGTGAAAACTTGAAAACGAGGGCATTCCCAATAACTTCAATATTCAAAGGCGAAGATTAATATTAAGGAAATTAAAATAAATGTTATACATGCTTAAAACTACAATACGTCAGGGTACGCATAAAGTTTTGTGTCAAAAAGTTTTTATTTAACACGCTCGAGTTTTTGTTAATTTGTATATATTATGTTCGTTTTCCTTACAGGTGGGTACACATTGAAAGGCAAAAAACCGAAGACACGAAAGCTTACAAAAGCCGACATTGGTTTCCCTGAGAACTTCCAGCACATTTCACATGTGGGGTGGGATGCTGACAAAGGTAATTGTCATAATAGATTATTTAAATTAAAAAAATACAAATTCGTACTAATATGTCCCTAAAAGCAAAAAAAGTAAAGTAAAATTACAGCCTTTATACGTCCCACTGCTGGGCACAGGCCTCCCCTTATTTCTGAAAGGGTTTTAGGGCAAGGGAGTGTCCGCCGCGCTGCCTCAATGCGTGTTGGCGAACTTTACATGTCTTCAAATTTTTTTCCTTATTTCTCAGACATGCAGGTTTCCTCACGATGTTTTCCTTCACCGCCGAACACGTGGTAAATCAGCACTTAAAATTGCATCTAACAATTTCGTTGGCGCCGGCGGGGATCGAACCCGGTTTGCTCGCGTACTGTAAAATTTACAGCGAGCGCTAACCATCTGAGCTACCACGGCTCTAAAAAGCAAAAATCTTTATTTAAATTAATTTATAAAAGAGCTTTGGGTTCTTTGTGCTTAATTCAATAACAAAAAACTTATATTAATCTTAATACTTGATGTAAAAAAATAACAGCTTTTACATCATCCGCATTTTAATTAGTAATTGCTCCCTTGGTTAATTAAAATTCCAAAAAATGTCCTTATACTTATATCAATAAACACAGAATCCATTCGTAGTTTTCAACCATGAAAATCTTTGATATTCTAAAAATATCATAAAAAAGTTGGTCTTTCGAGCCAAGTTACAAGTACACAGAATAAATAATAGTACTACGTACAGAAGTTGCACTACTTTGATGTCGACTGCTTACCGACGTTTAATAGCCTACATTTTGAATAAAACTATTATTTACGGATTTTATCGCGTTTAATTACTTTAATTTATTTTTATTATTATCCCGACGTTTCGGGTGCTTTACAGCACCCATGGTCACGGGGGGACTGAGATGTTTGACGTCCCAATGTCATAGTTAGTCCGGCTACCTTCAGTTTTTTTTAATATTAATTTTTGGTCCGATTTACGCAAAACGATCCTATAGTATCATGAAGTCTTGCAGTGGTATGCTTGGGTTTTCGTTTAATTTTGTTAGTTATAGGATCCCAAGCAGATGGTAGCACCCAACCATCTTCTCTATTGAAATTTGGATGTTTTTTTTAATTTCAATAGCCTCGCGTATCATCCTTGGTAGGAATCGGTGTTCTTTTGCGAGAATTTGTGGTTTATCAAATCTAATGTAATGGTGGGGACGATCTTGAACATGTTCGCAGACTGCAGACTTCCCGGAGCGTCGGTTTCTAACAGAAATGTGATCTAATCTATACATAGCCTACATTATTATTATTAATTAGATAAATCGCACACGCAAGCTAAATAAAACTTTATCGCTGCGCGCTGGTGATGTGATGTCAATAGAAAGTAAAAAAATACATTGCGAAATGTTAATTATGTTACTTAGGTGAAGTACTAACTAATTTTCTGACTATGATTGAACCATACTTTCGCCCACATGTGAGTTCTGCGATGCCTAACGCATGCAAATTGCAAGGTCATTCGTCGGGAATCGTAACGCTTGGGAGAAATAGGTAGATAGTGTAAACAACAAATAAACCTGAAATACGATTTCTAACAGAAATGTGATCTATTCTATTTAGTTAAAAATCTTGTTAGTATACAAAGTTTTAATTTCAGTATTTTGTGTTATTATAACTCAAAATATTTTAATTACAAAAGACAAGTATAGGTATGTAAGTAAATACTTGGATAGTGAAGTAAATTTTAACTAATTGTTGTAATGAAGTACTTAGGTATTTCTTCTGTAGGCCAAATTATTACTTAATTCTTTTTTGTTGTGAGTACCTATCTAACAAAAAAATTAAATAAATTTTTTAACCTTTCATAACTTCCTTCTAAAATTCTTCGGTAACTTAAAGAATGATATGGCGCCTTTTGTTGGTCATTTCATTTAGTATCCATCTAAGCAACAGTTATAGTAGGAGCGACGTTTTGCTATTATAATTTATCAAATCGGTAATATACATAATACCTATATATTTTTTAAAATGCATTAAAAGTTTTACAACTATTTTTACCTACAATTAAATATACTAAACACTAAACAAAAACTATTTCAACAACTACTTACATAAAACTATTTACGTAAACAGCGGCAAAAAACTTTAACATTCGATCGCCACTAACATGCCAGCCCTGACTGCGTTATTTCGCCCGGGTGCGTCGCTATTTTAGGTAATTATTTCACGCAGGTAGCAAGAGTGATAGAGGCCTGGTAATGTTTAATGGTGGAAAGATATATATAAAGGCTAATTAAGATACACACAACATTCATCCTAATTTCTTCTTTTTTCGAAGGTTTCGACGTCGACAACCTGCCAGAGAAGGAGATGCGATCGTTCTTGTCGAAGGCGGGCATCTCGGAGAAGCAACTACAGGACCGAGACACGCGGCAGTTCATCTACAACTTTATCAACACTCACGGTGGACTTGACGCCGTCAAGGACGACTTGCACGAGACGCCAAGACCAGACAAAAGTAATTTTATCCTATTGGTTTTAGTTTGTTTAGAAACAATTTGCTTGGTTCAAATGTATAGTAACTTGATAACAAGACACGATCACGTGGACTGTGGGACTGTAATTGTCACTTGAATATGTGAAAGATAATAAGTGTTTTCTGCCTGCAGACGCGTCCGGGTCAGGTGCAGCGCCCGCGCCCCCTGCGCCCCCCGCCCCTCCCGCACCGCCCGCGCCCCCCCGCTCCCCCGGTGCCGTCACGGACTCCCGCGCACTTGCATCCCCCCGCACCGCGTGAGTATATTTGCCTCTATTATTTTGTTTGACGTGTAATAGCGACCTGAACGAAAATTTAATGTCGATCCACATATTACATCAATGAAGCAGCAGGATTGTTCTGAGCCAATGCAGGGCACTGAAGCTATTTGCTGACACTGAAGTGTGTGAGAAAGCATATTATTAATACTATGAATGTGATTTTTTAAAATATACATTTAAAGGTATTTATAATAAAAAAATTTGCCTAGAGTATTTATTATTTATATTATTTTAATTTTAATAAACTGTCCAATTAATCCACACAATGCCTTAATATAACAAGTACCTAGGATAAACCTGTACCTCTGTATATATTTTCTTTTTTCTATATTATATAATTAATATTATTTGTTTCTTATACAAAATGCATTCAGCGTGACTACTAGTTCTTGGTGTGGGACTGGCGTACCCACCCTATATCAGTAAACACATTTCATATTATCTCTTTATCAAATGAACCCTTATTATACTAATGTTAAACACTCGCTTCCCGCGGTGCAATAAAATGGGGAAACCGGAGAATGGAGAGGAAGAAGGAAGGTAATTAAAAATCGACTACTGAAATAAAACGAATACTAAAGTTATCCAACGTTATCAACGTGACTGTAACAATGATATTTCACTGTGAGTTTTTTGTATCCGGAACGACCGTCACGGTTATTTAAAAATAACACTTTTCCCCAAGTCTAGTCGCCCTTTACGAGGCCCATGGAATGATATGGATATTCATACACCGCCACTACATGGTAATTGATAACTTCTCAAAACATTTTTTTATAGCATTGGATGACAAACGAGCACACAGGCCACCTGATGGTAAGTGGATGCTGTGGACCATAGACATTCACATTTATCCTTAATTCAGAATCAAAATGCAACACCTCGATTCCAGTGAAAAGGGTCTTCGGTTTTCTACACTCACCACACAAAACACAGCAGCAATTGTTGATAACTTTTTATTTTTAGGTAAGAACATAGTAATTACTAAGTTATATTTCCTTTACTTTACCTTCATTTAATGCTGCTGTGTTTAGTATGGTGAGTGTAGAGAACCGGAGACCCTTTTCACTGGAAACGAGGCATTTCATCTTAACCTTCACGTGTGACAACGCATCTGCATTTTGATTCGTAATCGAAGATGTAGATGTCTTACATGCCACAGTAACCACTTACAATCAGGTTGAGTGTGTTCGTTTGTCACCCTATAATATAATATCATATAAAAATACGCGCCATGTACATCGGTAAAAAACACATAATCTAAAATGACAATTGTTTGCTTCGTTCCGGATGGCTAATGTACTAAGCACGCGTGCGACGGTAATTTATTTAAACCGTATTAAAAATCTTTGTTTATATCGGTTATTGTAACCCATTTTCGATTCAACTACACAATATAATGAATATAACAATAGTATTACGTCTAATTTTATCAGAAAATGCTAATTTAAACTAAGTAAACCATTGGAATACAAATTCTATGATTTTCCACTCATATTCTATTTAGTCAACATCTAATGATTAAGTTTAATACATTTTAATACATACATGTTTAATACATTTTTTATTTTAAATTTATATTCACTTAAGATTCTTCAACAATTTTTTATAGGGAATTCTTCAAAAATTCGCAATGTTCCAGTTGTTGACCAGTGGTTTATTATTGGTAATGTGTAAGTGGTCAATTACTGGAACAAACTCGTAGTATAAATATTTTTACACTACGAGTTTGTTCCAGTAATTGACCACCTACACTTTCTCTACAGACACAATTCCACTGAAAAGAACTTTTTTCAGATATTAAAGAAGTTTTAAAAGCGATAGATGTAATAAAGAAAGGCGCGAAAGGTATAGAAACATGCAGAAAATATAATATTCTTCTTACAACTGTCATAAATAAAATTGAAACTGAAAAACAAAACAAGATTATGAGCCTAGGTAGTATTAATAATTACATCTATGATTTAAGGTTGTTATGATTTCTGATTACAAAAATTAATTAAGTTCATGAATTAGTTCACCATTGGCACAATGTCTAGTCTATTACTGGTACAATCTGGTCAACCTTAGGCACATTGTGACTTGCCACATTCATTTTTAAATAAAAATAAACTTAATAGCTATTAAGAAAATCGGAATTAAGTCGTGATTATATGGTAGATAAGGAGTACGATGATTTTTTTGTAATGATTGTTTATTTGATATGTATGAATGTTTATTGATTATTGCATAATTGAGTCACATCATTAAAATTTGCTCAAAAATGTTGCTTAATTGGTTTGTTACTGGTGCAACAACCGTACTTTTGAGCCAATGATAGAATATGGTCCAGCTATGTTCCTGCCATGCCATTGCACTGATGATTGTGGATCGACATTTATTCGGACAAACTTGAGTAGGTTTCATGTCAGTCGTAAGTCTTATTTAAACTAGACATTCGATAAAATATTTTTTTACCTTTACGACTTTTAAATGTATATTTCTTTCAATTATAATTTTCTTTTAAATTTTGTTCAAATCTTTTTCATTTTGGGAATTGGGCAGGTGCTTTCACTACATATTGCCCTAGATAAGTGTATTGTCACTTCAAATTTTACATTTAATTAAATTTATTTAAATACGTGTCATAAAGATGACAACTTCAAATCGACCTTGAGGCGAGAGTGTTAAGGTTCAATTTTGCTCGCAGCGTCCCGCGCCCCGCCCCCACCACCGTCGCGTGCGGTACCCCCTCCGCCGCCTTCATCGCTCTCTGCGCCCAGAAACCCACCACCGCGGCCACCACAACGTAAGTAACTTTACTTTTAACTTCTTAATTTTTTTTACATTTTTATCCGCTCAAAACCTACTTTCACAGAATAAGAACTGAATTAAGGTTATTAAAGCAATAGTAGTCCAAACCAAGAGAAAAATATGCTGATATTTATGATATTGATATTTACTGATTACTATTTGTAAAATGTAGAAATATTCGCTGTCGTTAATTATTTAAAGCAATAAACGTCATACATATATAAGGAGACGGTTCTCAACCTTATGGAGTGTAGAAGTAAGGAGTACCAACTTCCATAGTAGAATAGTTGAAAAAGTGTCCTCCCCTCCTCCACTCCACAACAGCACTGGAGTAGCTACTAGGATGAAATGAACTTAGTAGTTTTCGACGGTTTGAAGTGTGCTGCTAAACTCCTCGGTAGTTCTAAAATCTAAAATAATTTTATTTAGTAAATATAACCTCAAAAAGTCGTCTATCCCACTAATATTTTTCGGCACGTTCTTTAAAATTTTCTACAGGGCGCCATTTTCTATGCACACTTTTTAATACAGAGTCTGTACTCCTTACTTCTACACTCCATACTCAACCTGGGTGTATTTCTTTGCATATCATGTTACGTGATAACTTCGTGAGTTGTGAACCGATTTTGTTGATTGAAAGAAAAAAGGCGAGGAAAGCTTACAAAAGGTGTGCTCCTTTTGCACAAAAGTGTGCCCGTGCACACAAGCCATGATGCGATGGCTGCCATTCACCGGTGCGGTTTTAAATAACTGCGCCACCCACCCTACAGCCCAGACCTGGCCCCAAGCGACTAGTATTTGTTTCCAAAAATTAAGAAAGAATGACGTGGGAAAAAAATTGGCGCCGATGATAAAGTGAAGTCGGCAATTTTGGCCTATTTTGACGCCCAAAACAAATCTTTTTTTAAGACGGTATTAATAAGTTATTTGACAGATCTAATAAATGTATTAGGGTAAAGGGAGAATACATTGAAAATGAAAAATAGTTTAATTTCAATATCCTTCCTTGCGAACTTTTTGACCTCCCCTCGTATATTCTATGGTCGTAGTGCGCGTAGTAAAATTTACGAACGTTTCCGCGCGTTCGCATAATTAAGCGACATTTTGCTTTGAAAACGACCATTTTTGGATCATTTTAGTAGCGCTATTTAAGAGCCCATACTACCTCGGCTCAAATTCTAATTTCGCCCCCCCTTACCCGCGCCACTCGTTCGCACACTACTGCTCGCGGTCACACGGGAACACGAGGATAAAGCGATCTTCTAATATAAGGAAAGCCTATACAATGCGAGATCAGCTTATACTGGAAATTATCTAAATAAAAAAATGTTTAGTCGTCTCTGTAATATCGGCAAACACAGGTCCGTCCCGCAACAGATGCCGCAGCAGACTAATTGAACAAATTGAACAAATTGAAAAGGATAGCGCTATTACTGCTGCGTGCAAAACAAGAGACAGAAGGACAGTGTGCTCGCTTAGAATAAAATAACGCAAGCGCCAAATCACATAATTGCTAATTACGATAAGATCACGTAGAAAACTAAAAAATAAATTGTCACCATTTGAGATAATATTATTATCTATCTATTACGTTAAAATCATCATTCAATTCCATAAGGTTTCAGAGATCTAACTGAAAATAAATACAAAACGAGGTTTTTTATTTCTTTTAAAATAATCGAGATTTTTTCATAGAATCGTGTTTCCGCTTCAACAGATTTGAAGATTATAAGTCCAAGTTTAATGTGTCCAAATAGCAAACTCTTAGGTCTTATAGATTCCGGGATCCAGATCGCTCTCTATCACTAAAACAGCATTATATGAACTGTAATGTCGGGAGGTTCGGGGGATAAATAATACGTCTACTGGTCCTGAATGTAGGTTTATTACTGACCGAATATTTATTAGGCTATCATATATATATATAGCTACATGAGCATACACTACACACACACTACAGAACTGTTAAGGGAACTGCAAGAGTCAAGTGACCTCGAATGATGCACGCACAAATTTACACAATCAAGGTGAATGCCATCTAACGACAGTGAGGTTGAACTAACGGATTAGCGAATTATTTTGGGTGTTACTTGAAAATTTAAGGATGTGGGTGATTTTGAAATAAAAGTGATTCGAACTTAAAAGTAAACTTAAAAAAAACATTTTTAATTAAGATCCCTATTAAAAAAATGTTGAAGTGGCGCCGTTTATAGATCATTATAACTTATACAAGGGTTTTTTTTAGATTTACATTATTCCACCAGCTTTATATATATATATATATATATATATATATATATATATATATATATATATATATATATATATATATATATATAATGTGATTTATTCCTTGTAGTCGATAAATTACATAATAATATTAGTTATACCGCATCTGACGAGAATACTGAGAAATTAAAATATAAATATCACAATAATCTAAAAACAAATTAAAAACGTTTGTCTAGTTTTCACCGGCAATATAAGTTGTAATAGTACACTGTTAATAATTAATAGTATAAACCAAAGTTGTAGGTACGTTCAGCATTTATAAGTACTTTAACATTGATGGAAAATCCATTTAGTACTTCCGGAAAAATATATTGCACAGACAAACAAACGTGCAGGGAACATTTTTTTTAATCACGTGTTGATTGATTAGTGAGTATTAATCCAAAACACCATTATAGTAATTAAAGAAATATGATTAAAGCCAAGATAACTAAGGAATAATATGTCAATACAAATACATAATATATCTGCATAAGTTATTGTTTATAAAATATTTATCTTTTTATTGTACAAACTGCAAAAATGCTTCGTTACACGCATATCTTTTCATGTTTCCGGTTAGATTACATTAAAATATCTAGCGGTCAAAAACGATCGTCTCCTTCGGGTTCTCAAAAGCACCTTGATAACGTCGTAACCCTCCCCGTCATTCCGTAGTCAATCTTACATTGCTCAATCATAACCAGTCACACTGTGGTTACATTCCATTACTAGATTAAAAAAATGTGACAAACGAAAAATATGAATGTAACGCCATGATATTGCTCAATGCGAATTCTTAAGACAAAAAAAATTGAAGGCTTGTCGAATATTGTTTTCACACATGAAACTTCGCTCAATGCTAATCATACGATGTCAAGAACTTGGACTGACGACTGCTACCTCCACTTCGCAGTACCAATAGGGAAAGGTAAATAGTTCTGGTTCAAAGTTCTGTTCATGCATGGCCATTAGTCATGCAAGAACAGAAAGAGTATATGTGCCAGACGCTCTTTTAGCTTTCAAATCCCAAAGGACAGGAGACTATCATGTGGCGATGAATGCGGACGTGTATCAAAACTGGTGCAGAGAAATACTTTCGTCATTCAAAGAGCCATCGATAATATTTATTGATAATGCACCATATCACTTTCGTCAAATTAATAAAGTGCTTAAGGATATGGACGAGTCTTTACTAAAAGTAGAAATAGTAAAAATACTAAAAACCAATAAAGCAGCCAAAACTATACGTAATTGAAGAAATGGCAGCAGAACGAAGAAGGCGTATCGCCCTCAGAATTCCCCCATATCACTTAATTCAATACAATGCCATTGAGCTCATATGGGTCAAATACAGAAATAAGTCAAACGACCCGCCACTAGAAACAACACAACTCCTTTCACCGCAAAGAAAATGCTGGATCTACTAAAATGTGTGTGCTAATGGGACTTGAAAACTGGGCGAGTTTCGTCGAAAGAACAAAAAAAAGATATTTGACTGATTGGGATCGTGATTTTACATTTGAAATTTAGAGAACTCAAGATTAATGTTATTGAGGACTCAATTGATAATTCAGAGCAGACTTCGACGGTTCATTATAATAAAATAATATTGAAGTATTACAATGTTTACTTTTTTCTATATTCTATATCTAGTATATTTTTTTAAATATTTAACCTTAATTGCTTATCTCATTGGTAACTTATGTCAATAAAATGAAAATATTTATTGAATAAAACTATTATTTACGGATTTTATCGCGTTTAATTACTTTAATTTATTTTTTATTATTATCCCGACGTTTCGGGTGCTTTACAGCGCCCATGGTCACGGGGGGGACTGAGATGTTTGACGTCCCAATGTCATAGTTAGTCCGGCTACCTTCAGTTTTTTAATATTAATTTTTGGTCCGATTTACGCAAAACGAGCTTATAGTATCATGAAGTCTTGCAGTGGTATGCTTGGGTTTGGGTTTAATTTTGTTAATTATAGGATCCCAAGCAGATGGTAGCACCCAACCATCTTCTCTATTGAAATTTGGATGTTTTTTAATTTCAATAGCCTCGCGTATCATCCTTGGTAGGAATCGGTGTTCTTTTGCGAGAATTTGTGGTTTATCAAATCTAATGTAATGGTGGGGACGATCTTGAACATGTTCGCAGACTGCAGACTTCCCGGAGCGTCGGTGCTTCACATCAGCTATATGTTCCTTCACGCGGGTTTTTATAGATCTCTTTGTTTGACCTATGTAAGAGAGACCACATTCACAATCTAGCTTGTACACACCTGCATCTTGTAGAGGAATATTACATTTGATGGATGGTAAAAATTGACTAATCTTCTTCAGCGGCTTGTAGTATGTCTTAATGGACGCTCGCTTCAAGATGTAGCCAATCTTGTCCGTGACTCCTCTAACATATGGTAGTAGAGCAGGCGCGCGCTCGACTGTGGCCGGCTTCACTCGTTCACTGTGACGTAGGCGCGGGACTCGAAGCTTGTTGTCTTGCAATACTTGCTTGACGTGCTGAAGCTCCGCGGCCAGATGTTTTCTGTCACAGATCCCTCGTGCTCTCTGAAACAAAGATTTACCCACGGTAGCTAACTGTGAAGGATGATGGTGAGATTCACCATTTAAATATCGGTTGGTATGGGTCTTTTCCTATACACAGTGTGACCAATAGTGTTATCAGGATTTCGGACGACTAAAACATCTAGGAAAGCTAAAGAATTATTTGCCTCTAACTCCATTGTGAATTGTATTTTAGAGTTTATGGAGTTAAGGTGGTCTAAAAATGCAGTTACTTTGTCAGATGGTAAAATTGTGAAAGTGTCGTCTACGTACCGCTTGTAGAACCTTGGATTTACAGGAGCAGTAAGAAGGGCTTTCTCCTCAAAGTCCTCCATGAATATGTCGGCGACTATGGGAGACACAGGTGAGCCCATCGCCACACCATCTACTTGCTTGTAGAACTCCTCCTTCCACAATAGATAGCCAGATGTGAGGCAATGTTCAAGTAGTATTGCATATTCTTGAGGCATGTTATTTTCTTCTAGCTTCCTAGTTACAATTGAGATGCAGTCCACAATAGGTAGGCATGTAAATAGTGACTGAACATCAAAACTGACCATAGTTTCATTGTTAGCGAGATGTAGGTCTTTTATCTCACTCACAAAATGGTATGAATCCTTTGTGTGTGCTCTGGTATGTCCTCTTAGTGGTGATAGTATTTTTGCTAAGTATTGTGCCAGCTTATAGGTTGGTGAATCGATCTGGCTCACTATGGGACGTAGTGGAGCGTTTGGTTTGTGTATCTTCGGTAACCCATACAACCTCGGTGGTTTGGCACATGATGGTATTAGCGAATTCACGTCGAGATTTAATTTTTCGGAGTATTTCTTTATTAAATCGCTAGTTGTTTTAAGCGTGTTAGTTGTAGGGTCTGTTTTGACCTTTTTATATGTACTTTCGTCCGATAAAAGTTGTTGTATTTTAAAATTATATTCCGACGCGTCCATTACTACCGTAGCATTTCCTTTATCCGCGCGGAGAATCGTGAGTTCTGGTCTGTTCCGTAAGTTATTTAGCGCTGTAAATTCGTCTTTGGGAAGGTTTGGTTTCGGCACTGAACTACGACGTAACAAGGACGAAATATCTTGACGTATGGCCTCCAAATCTTCCTTACCGATATTATTCTTAAACAGACAATCCTCAACACTGCAGATAATTTCTTCGTACGGGATTTTTCGCGGAGTTAATGCGAAGTTCATTCCCTTCGCTAATACTTTCATTGTCCATTATTGGTTGTCCATTTTGCATTAACTCCGCGAAAAATCCCGTACGAAGAAATTATCTGCAGTGTTGAGGATTGTCTGTTTAAGAATAATATCGGTAAGGAAGATTTGGAGGCCATACGTCAAGATATTTCGTCCTTGTTACGTCGTAGTTCAGTGCCGAAACCAAACCTTCCCAAAGACGAATTTACAGCGCTAAATAACTTACGGAACAGACCAGAACTCACGATTCTCCGCGCGGATAAAGGAAATGCTACGGTAGTAATGGACGCGTCGGAATATAATTTTAAAATACAACAACTTTTATCGGACGAAAGTACATATAAAAAAGGTCAAAACAGACCCTACAACTAACACGCTTAAAACAACTAGCGATTTAATAAAGAAATACTCCGAAAAATTAAATCTCGACGTGAATTCGCTAATACCATCATGTGCCAAACCACCGAGGTTGTATGGGTTACCGAAGATACACAAACCAAATGCTCCACTACGTCCCATAGTGAGCCAGATCGATTCACCAACCTATAAGCTGGCACAATACTTAGCAAAAATACTATCACCACTAAGAGGACATACCAGAGCACACACAAAGGATTCATACCATTTTGTGAGTGAGATAAAAGACCTACATCTCGCTAACAATGAAACTATGGTCAGTTTTGATGTTCAGTCACTATTTACATGCCTACCTATTGTGGACTGCATCTCAATTGTAACTAGGAAGCTAGAAGAAAATAACATGCCTCAAGAATATGCAATACTACTTGAACATTGCCTCACATCTGGCTATCTATTGTGGAAGGAGGAGATCTACAAGCAAGTAGATGGTGTGGCGATGGGCTCACCTGTGTCTCCCATAGTCGCCGACATATTCATGGAGGACTTTGAGGAGAAAGCCCTTCTTACTGCTCCTGTAAATCCAAGGTTCTACAAGCGGTACGTAGACGACACTTTCACAATTTTACCATCTGACAAAGTAACTGCATTTTTAGACCACCTTAACTCCATAAACTCTAAAATACAATTCACAATGGAGTTAGAGGCAAATAATTCTTTAGCTTTCCTAGATGTTTTAGTCGTCCGAAATCCTGATAACACTATTGGTCACACTGTGTATAGGAAAAAGACCCATACCAACCGATATTTAAATGGTGAATCTCACCATCATCCTTCACAGTTAGCTACCGTGGGTAAATCTTTGTTTCAGAGAGCACGAGGGATCTGTGACAGAAAACATCTGGCCGCGGAGCTTCAGCACGTCAAGCAAGTATTGCAAGACAACAAGCTTCGAGTCCCGCGCCTACGTCACAGTGAACGAGTGAAGCCGGCCACAGTCGAGCGCGCGCCTGCTCTACTACCATATGTTAGAGGAGTCACAGACAAGATTGGCTACATCTTGAAGCGAGCGTCCATTAAGACATACTACAAGCCGCTGAAGAAGATTAGTCAATTTTTACCATCCATCAAATGTAATATTCCTCCACAAGATGCAGGTGTGTACAAGTTAGATTGTGAATGTGGTCTCTCTTACATAGGTCAAACAAAGAGATCTATAAAAACCCGCGTGAAGGAACATATAGCTGATGTGAAGCACCGACGCTCCGGGAAGTCTGCAGTCTGCGAACATGTTCAAGATCGTCCCCACCATTACATTAGATTTGATAAACCACAAATTCTCGCAAAAGAACACCGATTCCTACCAAGGATGATACGCGAGGCTATTGAAATTAAAAAACATCCAAATTTCAATAGAGAAGATGGTTGGGTGCTACCATCTGCTTGGGATCCTATAATTAACAAAATTAAACCCAAACCCAAGCATACCACTGCAAGACTTCATGATACTATAAGCTCGTTTTGCGTAAATCGGACCAAAAATTAATATTAAAAAACTGAAGGTAGCCGGACTAATTATGACATTGGGACGTCAAACATCTCAGTCCCCCCGTGACCATGGGCGCTGTAAAGCACCCGAAACGTCCGGATAATGATAAAAATAAATTAACACTCCAGTACACGCGCTTAAAATAGTGACACGATTCCACGCGCGGGGCACAATTGTGGCCCAAAATATTGTGATTTTTTTAGTAACATAGGAATAGAAATAAAATATTATAGTTTTTATATATAATCAGCCTTTATTGACTTATCAAAAAACAACAAAAAAATAGACACTTCTGTACTAAAACCAAAAATAAAAAGTATTTGGCTTCATACTGATAAAACTAAAGAAAAATGGCACTTATACTTATAATTAAGATTTTTGACATAATCCGACTATTCTTTGGGCTCGGTTACATATTTATTATAACAACCAAGGCATACAGGATATTTATGGTCATTGCACACAGGCTTCTGACACTTCTGGCAAAATGTTCTGGTCGATCTATCTTTGGCTCTTCCGCAGTCGTAACATCTGGCTGTTTTGGTTCTCTTTTTTGGTATAACTTCATCTTCAGGCACTAAATTACTCTCTTTTACTTCTAAAAACATCATGATCTTCTCCTTGATAGTCCGAGGTAAGTTTTTAGTCATAAGTCTCTGTCGCATTTGAGCCTTTATAAGTTCTATAGCCACCGAACGTAAGTAGTCGCGTCGAGATTTGCGCTGGTAATTGTGATTGACCATTGTGTCAATTATCATGCCATTCATGCCAGCGATATTTACCATGTCAAAAAATAGGGTGAGGGGCCAACGTCTACTATTTCGTGCTACACTGAAATGCTTGCACATTTTATCTAAAACGTCAACACCACATTTTGTCCTGTTGTACTCAGTAATTATTTCAGGTTTTCTTTTCTCAGCGGTAGAAAGATCAATCGTACCATCATTGTGCATGGTTGATGCCACTAAAACTACTTCTTTTGGTTTTGGTACGTAAGACACTAAAGTGCATTTCTTTTGGAAACCAAATAAGGAGTCGTTGATGGGTCTACCTTTGGATGATTTGAAATTGAGTGGAATGTCAGGTTTGTTAGATTTCAGTGTCCCAATAGCAGTAATCTTCTTCATTTCTAGTTCCATCAACAACGGTATACTGGTAAACCAGTTGTCCATGGTCACATTGCTTCCCATACCTTCGAGAGGCTTTAACATTCTGTGAACAATGTCTTTCACTTTGTTGGAGACCTGAAAAGGTCCAGGAGGTTGAGCACCGGCATAAATTTCTAAGTTGTATGCATAAGGAAACGTAACATCTACTAAGGCAAAAAGTTTAAGACCATACTTGTCTGGTTTGTTGGGAATAAACATCCGGAAACCACAACGTCCTCTAAATGCCACAAGTTGCTCATCTAGAGTGAGATACTCACTCGGTGTATAATACTTTTGTAGGTTCGATACAAAAATGTCAAAAATTTGTCTGATAGGAGCGAGTTTATCAATTTCCTTTCTGGAATCTCTTGTATGGATGTCATCAAATCGAATGCACTTTAGCAAAAAGGCAAATCGATTTTGAGACATTGTGAGATAAATAGCCTCCACTGCAGTTCCAAACCTATTGTCCCAAAAATCTTTCAGTATTCTTCGACCACTTTTTTTCTACACCCATCATGAGTAACATCCCAATCATTGCCCTGATTTCAGTATAGTCTGTATTCTTGGCATCTCTTTGTCTTTGGTATTTTGTTTTTATTTTGTCGATATATATATTTGTACATCTTGTAATAATATCTATTGTCTCCTCATTAAAATATAATTCAAAACAAGAGATTGGAGTTTTGCAAGCTGAAGCGTCATTTTTGGGGCCACAAATACGACTACGAATGTTCGACGCTTGGGATCGGACGCTAGTTCTGTATGGTGTGGCCTGCCATTCAAGACCTGACTTAGATTTGTAAATCCTTAAATTGGCCAATGGAACATCCTCGTCTGAGCTTGACTCTGATAACGGCTGCAATACAGATGGAGTATCTGGGATTATCTGTTCCCCTACATCGCTTTCTTGCTCCGACTCAGAATCGTGTCTTTCTTCTAAACAACAATCTTCTTCATCTTCGCTACTCGGCAGGTCCTCCAAATCATTCTCCTCCTCTTCGTCCGTCTCTTCCAACCATCTAGCTACACGTTGTGACTGTGCATCCATCTTAGCAGATAATCAGACAAACTTTACAAGATAAAATACCTAAAACAAGAAAAATGTCCAATTTAATTACGAAAATCATACCACCAATAAAGAAAAAATAAAAACAGTAATATGAATTTAACAAATTTACACAGATTTTTAACATAATTATCTTGAAAATAATAAAAAAAACATAATAAATACCAAATAAGCCGCGTACCACTAGTTACGTAATTACACGCGTGGGGCACAGGCGTGCCCCAAAGATGCATAAACACTTACACAGAGCACGTCCGAGCGCCGGCACAGTCGACGCGTCACTGACGCTCACGCGAAGATATATGCAACAGCTACTTAAAAAATCAAAATCCTGGCTGTTAAGTTTTGTGATTTACAGACAAAAATATGCAGCTGGGGCACGCCTGTGCCCCGCGCGTGTAACGTAGTGTTAAAGTAATTAAACGCGATAAAATCCGTAAATAATAGTTTTATTCAATGTGTAGTGTTCGCGTAAATTTAAGAAATCATTATGAAAATATTTAATTTTCTGTGACGCATTTTATATTTTTTCATGGAATAATCAACTTGAATAATCTTTATTGCTAAATCTGTGGGTTCAATAAATTTTGATATTGAAAATAATTATTGAAGCTAAAGAGCTAATCGTTTCATAATTGTAAAGAAAACTGCGTTCATTAAGTATTGCATTATTGTCTATGGTTGTCTGTCAATGGAATATAATATATATTTTTTTCAATAAAGATTACATATTTCATTGTCATTTTTTACTTTTACCACTGGTTCGGAAAAAACCTCTGTCCTGCCAGACAGTTGTAAGTTGTACAAACTATGTTTAAATTTCTTTTAGAAATAGCAACAAGCAACAGAGTTTAAATCTAGATTATTAACGTTAAACAAATCCACTAATTTTGATATAGCATTTTTCACTTCGTCACATTTAATTGATTGACGTTCAAGTTTAAAAATCAAGGAACTATCACCAAGAAATAATAGCATACTAAGATTATCTCCTGTAATGGAAGGTAGCTCATTAATATAAACTAGAAATATGAATGGGCTGAGAATTGAGCCTTGAGGGACACTCGGTGACCCAGAAGAACTTACCATTGATAATAACTTTCTGCGTTTTATTACTTAAATATGAAATAATAAGTTTAAACGCTGTGTTCTTGAGACCATAATACTGTAGCTTCCTGATTAATGTCTCATAGTGAATACAATCCAAGGCCTTGGAAAGGTCACAAAAAGGTATTATTTGTATTATAGTAGTATTTTTAATTAAATCATGAAACACCGGATACGACGATTGTATTTAAATAGAGGCTAGTGAAGGTGCTATTGTATCTATTACAAATGCAATAACCTTAACGGAAATCCAAAATAAGAAATTTTTTTACATCAGTAGTTTTAAAATATAATCTTTTGGTCTCAATGGAATTTAAAATTATTTAAACAAGTCTTTAAATTTTGTTCAAGCAATGATTCGGCGACAGTAGGAAAAGAGATTGAAGATTTTGTTGTCAAAAAAGTAACTTTAGTAAAATGTTTCTCAAAATATAATATTCAATTGGAGTTAGAGTTGTGTGGTGGTTACGATTTTAATTTACATGGGTAATAATTATGGAATAATTCAAAGGTGTGCTTCTTGTGTGTGGACTGTGTGCTCGTTTGTCACCATAGAATACTATATTATACACAATAGAATGGCTGTCAACTTTATTTTGTACGAGGTTTGGCGTCGCCAAACACGATTTGCTATGTTGACAGACTGAATAAATTTACACATTTAGACTTTTGATTAATGTTCAAGATCATCATTAAAAAAAATCGTTTAAATTTTAATACATATTTATTTGTAAATAGGGTGCAATTTGGCATTTTTTTAATAATTTGCATGCGAAATTTGGAAACGATTGCCACGTCAAAACACATCTCGTGTTGATATTTATACGTGTGAATTGACGTGTTAGTGACATTTTAGTGGCTACGCGGGCTCCGCCCACTCCCCCGTTCTATTATATATGTATTATAGGTATTATAGTAATCTATGTTTGTCGCCCCACCCTTATTTTGGAAAGATCACTGTGAAAGGTTGGGTTCATCATCACATTGGGTGCGCTTGGCAGAAAAAAGCACTAGCAAGCGTTTGTAAGCAAAATGGCGATCGTAAGCGGTAAGCGCTTTCAAATCGTAAGTAGCTATTTTCCTCTAGGACACGAAGTTAGTTTTAACCGGGGAACCTAACCTAATTTAAATATATGTTTGTAAAGTATTCATATTAAAAACTTACCAATCATGAATTTTTAATAACATATATATGTCTATTCATGTCATTATATTACTTAAAACTAATATTGCACATAACAACTTCTAAACTCTACTTCAAAACGAACAAATTAAATAAGCAAAATGGCGGATTGTGTCAGCGCTACTGAAGTTAGCAAACGTGTCCTGGCCGAAAACTGATTAGTTTCGCTATTTTGCTTACAAGCACTTGCTAGCGCTTTTTTCTGCCAAACGCACCCATTGATTAATGGTGGTGCGTGTAGCACCGGCAAGCTGTCCGCCGGGCGTGCCGCCTCCGCCTCCGCCGCCGCCGCCGCCGGGTGCGCCGCCGCCGCCACCCGCGCCCGCCGCGCCGCCCGCGCCTCCTCCGCCGCCGCCCCCCGCCGCTCCGCCGCAAGACTCGCGCGCTGCGCTCATGGAAAGCATACGCAGCGGCAACAAAAACCTCAAGGTGGGGACTCCTTATTTATTTAGTAATGAGCTCATACTATTGTACTTTTGCCAGTATCAAAAAATCGCAAAACACACTTGAGATGAACTTACAAAATAGCGCACTGTAAACATACTATACGAAATATAAATAATGAGATAGCTTACTTGTTACCAGTCTATACTTTGATAGGTAATACCTGTCTTGTCAAAAACTTTGTAGTTAAATTATTAATATCAATCAAATTAAATTTATCATTATAATAATATATATAGCATATATCTGCAAATGATAGCATCTTCCACAGGGAGTGCTCAGGAAATGGTTCAGAATAATTCCAGATTTCACTAACTTACGATAACATCTACCAGCAGCTTTCTTTCTCGCATTTCTTTGTGAAATCTTTGTGAAAACGACTTGAGGACTTCAATAATAGAACCGGTTAGCTTTAAAGGCCGGCAATGCAGTTGTTCATAGGGGCGCTTACCGTCAGGAGAGCCGCATTTTCGTTAGCCCTCTATTATATATATATATATATATTTTGTGGTCGTTACCGGCGGGTGTAGTAAGCGACAGTAGACATGTGTCAATCATTCATTTCTCGTGACCGAACCATTCTAGTACATTTCAAAAACAATTCATTCAGATCAATCGGGATTCGGTTGGTTTTCGACTCATACACAATTCACACCAATCACGATTTAAAAAGGTTCCGTCAATTGTTTGTGATTGTTTTTTTTTTTTTATAGAATAAGAGTGACAAACGAGTACACAGTCCACCTGATAGTAAGTGGATGCTATATCCCATAGACATATATATCTATCCTTGGTTAAGAATTAACATGTAAATGCGTTGCCACTCCTGAGAACTAAAGTGGAATGCCTCGTTTCCAGTAAAAAGGGTTTCCGGTACTCTACACTTACCATACGGTACACAGCAGCTTTAAGCTGCTATTTTACGCTGGTATTCTGTTAGAGCGTGGTCCTACCCCGGTCGAACCGACCCATTCGTGCCTTAACGATAATATAGCTGTAGCACCACGTAAAAAATGTACCGGAACATTCAAAAATAGATGAATGAACCATCAATAATTTTAAGTGTACCAGCTTAAACGAACCAATCATTCATGATTGACAGATGTCTAAGCGACAGTGTGCAAGCAAGAGGTGAATATAAGCGACGTCTTTTGTAATCCTATTTCTGTTTGCGCGAGTCGTACAAATGTTTGTTTTGGTAATCTTAAAATTTCATTTGACAATAGTGTCAAATACTAACCTATCGGCGATTATTACATTTATTTAACCCTTAAAAGTCCGAAGTCTCCATTTGGATCCTTAAATGTCTCCTTGTAGACTGCACAAAAAGTATAATAATTAAAGGGACGCCTTAGAATCAAAGAGTATATGATCACTAAGTTTACTCGAAACTGTAGATAAGAGTGCTCAGGACGATTCTTTTTTAAATGTTATTTATAAGAATATAATTCTTAAAGAATATAATTCTTAAGATTAAAACCACATTTTTGGAGCCTCAATTATCTTGTCGATCTCTGCGATTTTACAACTATTTTAAATATATCATAACTAAAAAAAAATATTTTTGTTGATGCGCAGCACGTGGAAGTGGGCTCCAAGACATCGCTCAACGAAGACAACAGAAGCAATCTACTGAGCGAGATCAGACAAGGAGTCGAACTGAGATCGGTAAGTACGATTTCATGTAAGAATACGTTCCTTTTTGTTGATGCGCAGCACGTGGAAGTGGGCTCCAAGACATCGTTGAACGAAGACAACAGAAGCAATCTACTGAGCGAGATCAGACAAGGAGTCGAATTGAGATCGGTAAGTACGATTTCATGTAAGAATACGTTCCTTTTTGTTGATGCACAGCACGTGGAAGTGGGCTCCAAGACATCGCTGAACGAAGACAACAGAAGCAATCTACTGAGCGAGATCAGACAAGGAGTCGAATTGAGATCGGTAAGTACGATTTCATGTAAGAATACGTTCCTTTTTGTTGATGCGCAGCACGTGGAAGTGGGCTCCAAGACATCGCTGAACGAACACAACAGAAGCAATCTACTGAGCGAGATCAGACAAGGAGTCGAATTGAGATCGGTAAGTACGATTTCATGTAAGAATTGATTACTGAAGATCATTTTATTAATTTATGGCAATTAAGTTGTTTAGTTCACTTCTAAAAATAATGGAGGAACAAAATGTGTCCATAAAATTTTTACAAATTTTTTCATTTTACTTGATGAGATATGCATTATATTTTTTTTAATACTAAGTAAATATTATAGTAATAAGGCATACAATACAGGTGGACACAAATATTATTTTATGTGCAGATTCACTTTCCAACCAGTTTAACGATTGTGAACTTAGAACTTTTACTGTGCTTGCGCCAATAATTGACTTCTGAACAGAGACCGTAATTAGTGTTGCCGGCCCCACGCATGTTAAAGCATGTAAAGTCCATCGTTCATAAGTCACACCGCTGGCAGGAACCGACTCAGTTAACACGTTCATTCCCAAAGCAAAAAAAGTTTTAGTTACTTTTCAGCCCGTAAAAGTTCTCCCCGACTTCCAATGTTTGAATTATTGGGCAAACAGTAACGCTTCAGGCAGATTGACTGATGTTTTTAAGCTTTGGGCCCGACTCGTTATGTTTACTAGAGCAACGAGGCAGTCATTTAAAATACTCTTTAGAAAAAACGAAGCGAAACGAACTCTAATTTTAATTATAGGTGTCGCGTTCCACGAGCAGTTCGGGCGAACGTGCTCGTGCAGAGGCGCCCGCCTGCGGGCTGGCCGGCGCGCTCGCCCGCGCACTGCAGGAGCGCAACCGCGCCATACACTCCTCCGACTCGGAGGACAGCGACGCCACCAGCGACGGCGAGTGGGACGAGTGACGTCACTCTAATGACGTCACCACGTACGCCACGCGCGCTCTCGCTCCGCCGAACAAGATGGCGTCTGCATGTACTGTGTACGCTACACGCACACATACAGACCCACACACTGCCGACCCCGATGACGTCAGCATGTACGCCACACTCGCACACACTCTGCCGACTGCGATGACGTCTGTATGGATAGTGCTCACCACACCCACATACATCACCGACTCCGATACCGTCTGCATGTGTGTACACAAAGTCACTCTGCCGAACAAATACATCATATCTTTTTTATCGTGGAGAAATCTTCATGGATACACTCCGCTGTGGGTGCAAGGATAAATAAAGCTTAACCACACTCCTGGCGGTTATAACTTTCATTTTCCTAGCAAATGCCCTCAGCTCTTACTAGCCACAGCATCTTTACTGCCGAGCGAGCTCTCATAATCACTCGCTCACCAACATTTAAACAACATATTATTCAAAAAGTTGCCATGAAGTGGCCACACCTCGTCTCGTGGGACCAAGGGACCTCAGATCATTAGACAAAATCAGAGTCAAAACTATATTCAATGTAGGCTTGTTTAAATGTAACAAATAACATGGACCTAAAAAAATCTTAAATATACTTTATGTATGTTTTTAATAATACGTTATATAAGTGAAATGGTGCTTTCATTAGGATGTAATAGAGAAACGAACTTCACCGACATTCTCAAATAAAAAGTCCCGTAACCCAATATACATATATATAAAATGCCATGTTTATGGCAAAATCGAAACTAAGAGTGAGCCCACACTGTCGCTACGTCATCACAAGTAATCCATATCAATTTCTTTAATGGTACTTATTTTACTCTGCAAATTAAATTCAAAGAAAAAACGAAGTTAGCTATCAACGCAAATCAGTATACCCTTTTTTCGTCTCAGGGGCTTTCATTCAGCCGAGTGCGCGTTACGTCAACGCAGCGCACCGTATGTACCATAGAATACTATAGTACACAATAGAATGGCTGTTAAACTTATTTTGTACGAGATTCCGCGTCGCCGGGAGCACACATACAAGCAATTACGTCGTATTATCACTATTACCCGGTTCGCTGTTTTGATAGACTGAATAAATATACACATATTAGACTTAATTAATGTTTAAAATCATCATTAAAAAAAAGTCGTTTAAATTTTAATATATATTTATTTGTAAATAGCGTGTGATTTGGTATTTTCTAAATAATTTGCATGCGAAATTTGGAAAGATTGTTACGTAAAAACACATCTCGTGTTGACATTGATACGTGTGAATTGACGTGTTAGTGGCATTTTAGTGGCTACACGGGCTCCGCCCACTCCCCCGTTCTATTATGTATGTAATATAGTATTCTATGGTATGTATACTATGGTTTATTAGTATGTAAAATGACGCAGTGGCAGCGCTACGTCAACGCGACGCGTCGTGTGAACTTACCCTAACGCTGCCATTACATGATCGTCCAACCCTTGCAACCAAACTACTACTAACAATGTAAAGCGATATTTCAAAGCGTTATATTGTTCAACTAAGTTCGCTCGTCAATCAAGTACACCACATCAAAGGAGTTCGGCTAAGCTCGCTAACTCACGCGAAGCGACAGAAATATTTGCGTGTTTTGAAGCATGTGAAGCAGAACCAACTTTATGGAACCCAAAACATAGCATTTTATTTGGTGAAGTTAGGATAATCTGGATTTCAACAGTATTTGTCTGTAAGCGTTTTTATAATGGATAATAAATATAATACAACTTACAGGCGTTAGTGACGCGCAGTACATCTTAGACTACCTTTGCGACGTCTGCACAGGTACTGGTGACGTGTTTGAATTGGAGGATTGTAGGATTATGTAGTGCAAGTATAAGTCTACACGTGAAATACTGTGGTCAAGCGAAATTAAAGATGAATGAAATCACTGGTGCCTAAACAGTAAATGCTTGAATATTTTTTTATCCTTTCAGTATTCGTTATGATTTACTTGAATGAAACATTCTTTTTAATAAAATATACCTATTTAGAACAGTAAACTTTCAACTTAAAATGGTGGGTCCATGCATTAAATTAAATATATTGTAATGGAAATAATAAGCTATGAGTACACAATACCTTTTGATTACTTATAAGTGTATATTTTATTTTAAAATCTGCTAATAAAAAAATAAGACGTGGTGTTACCTTTTTTAACATAAAGTGTTTTTGATTTTCATGTGTTGATTTTCCTTTTTAAGACCTAGTGACACAATTACATTGTTATGTTTAATACATTCATTCGGCGGACAACGTGATTTACATACATAGTTAATCAGAATTCTGTCCATGCGACAAATGCACTTTATACCGTTTTTGCTCAAAATATGCAAGGTTTTATATCATCGGTATGGTAGTTGACACTCATGTATTTTGAAATACTTTTAACGAGTTGTTAAAACAGAACTTTCTATAGAAATTTATGAAATTGATTTTAAAATGCGCATAGTTTTGTGTGGTTAAATGAATATCTTGTTCGAATATTATTGTATATTAATAATAGCAATCCATTTGAATGGAAATTCAGCCAAAACACGACTAAAAACATCAATAATGATTTTTTAATAATTGGAACATGATGTCGACTACCCGATTGTAGAAACAAAGTGATAAATGTTGCTAATATTACCATTGAATTTTGAAAATTCTCAAATTCTTTACACTAACAATTAAATGTAAAGGATTTAGAGCATAGAGCACATTATATTGATTTTTAACATTTATAACAAACCCTATATTTGAATGGACAATATGTTTTGTATAAGCAAGTAAATATAATTTTTGTAAATGTATGTTTTATTTAACAACTAGTATTAAAATATATGTATTATTTAGTTAGTAACAAATATTTTAATAATTATAATTTGACATTTCTATTTTATTTTATATTTTGATGTAAATCTTTGTATTCCCCTGTACATGTGTATATACTTTTGTAGTTTTTTGGTATGATTAAATAACGAAATGTAAATTTGGTTTGTAAAAATTCAATAATAATGTAAGTAAATAGTTTCATGTTATATACTTTTTATATTGAGGTCACATTAAGTCTGCAAACGAAGTTCGCTCTTATATAATGGTTATAAGGTTCGTTTGATAATTTTATGAGAAAGTTGGTGCAGAGGTTATGTTTCACATTGATTCGCTTTAAGATTTAGTTTACGTTGAATTTACGATTACAGTGTGATGAAAAGTCATATTCACTACATTTTTATTGACAATTTTAACGTGTGGTCAGGGTTCTATTTATCTTACTTATAATAGCTTAATACATTGGCTTGTTCTTATAGGATAGATATAAACATTATTTTGTTGTACATGGCCTGATTTTTGCAAAATATCTGCTATCTTCAAATTCTATATTATCATTAATGCAGCCCCTCACAAGTCCACTGCTGAACATCAGTCTCTCCCAAGGGATGCCACAAAGCACGGTCCTGAGCCACCTGCATCCATCGCCTTCCCGCATGTCTTACCAGGTCGTCGCTCCAGCCAGTTGGGTTCGCCCTACACTTCATTTACCGTTACTAGGCTGCCATTCGAGAACCTTTCTTCCCCAATGGTTATCGGTTCTTTGAACTATATGGCTTCTCAGTGCCACTTCAGCTAATCCTTGTCAACTAATTCGTCGTGTTGTCGGTCTTAGACAGTATATTTCGTCCTAAATCGTCTTTAATATATAATTTATAATATATAATTAATAATTTTTCTTTATTTTTATTTATTCTACACTCAAATAGAAGCAATATAAATTGCCTACAAGTTAAAAATACATTATTAAGACTATAGTTATACATATTGTTGTTTCTTTTTATTTTATATAACATATTTATTAATTCAATTGTTCCTATCACCTTACCTATATAACTTGAGCCGCCCATAATAAACTAAACTTCAAAAGAAAGTGTTATGGAAGAGACATACACTTACGTTAATTTACCAACTTTAGATTGTTCTTAATTTTATCTCTATTACAAATTGATTGTAATATACATAATCATTTAAATACACCTTTATAAATACGACAGTAAATGTGTTACTTGTACATTGTTGTCGTCCAATACAGCCAGTATCTCACCTCTCTGTCTCTCACCTTGACCTCACCCTTATATCTTTCTTGAAATCTATTGTAAAATATTTTACGTGAAGGTAAAATGTAGGTACTCTGTAATTTGGAGACGAGTGAGAATTAGTTAAGAAAACGGAACTTCATACTTAACTGGATAGAGTGTACTAAAACAAACACGATCTGTTTTTTTAAGCAACGTGGGCACTCGTATTTCCTTCATATATGACTAGTTCAAGTGAGAATGCGTTCCGTTATGTTAAAAAAGCTAAATTGCATTGCAACATATTTTTTCCAACTGCAGTGGCACGAAACCCCTCAAACGCGTATGTCCAAAAGAAATGTATTGTATGTAGAATAACTAACAAAGCTGCATCTGTGATGTGACCACACCATTGCTATTGAAGCCTGCAAATTGGAAGGCCGTGTAAAAGTAATGTAGCGTATAACTTTGTATATTGTAAAAAGGCGCAAAAATATTTTTTATAATGTCAAAATTTATGTTTTCTATTAACTGGCGTGTAAGGTTGTGCTGGCTTGATGAGACTAATCGATTTAAAGTTAATACCACCTGTACACAATGTTGACTAAATAAACGATTAATAATTTTAAATGTTGTATTTATTTAGTGTTCTCCAAGAAATGTCCGTACAAAACCGTCTTATTGCCTAAAATCAGCAAAAAAGAAAGACCGCGCTGCGTACATTTCAAGTGATGTAAAAACTATTAAAGCTGTAGCAAACCGTATGTATTCGTACTGAGTAACAGGTGCGCTATCTAGTACAGAGTAACGTAACGTACACACATTTTTCATAGTATGGGTACCTACACTGATTCAGTTCACGCATGTACCGTTGATGCGTGTATTGAAACATTTGCTTATTGGTGAAT